TCTATTGCACCATGCCCACCAGTCTTTACATTTATACAGAAAATTTTTCAAAAAAAAAATTAGAGAGTTATCCAAAACTCATGCAGGTAGAACCGTCTCTGCACACTTGCCCAAATTTTCAATGGCACTTTCAAATGGTATATAGCCTTTCCAGCTCGTCTGGTATGAAGCTGTAAACGTTGAATTTGATATTTCTGCCTCAACTGCTGCTTCGCTTCCTTTTGTGCCGGTGGTGATGCTCCGATTTCTTTTTGTGCTAAATGAAACCAATAACAGATCAGTTTAAAGAAATTAGCGACTTAATGGACCGAAACATGTATGCGACTTAATGGACCGAAACATTCCCATTCAGTTTTTAAATTTAATTTATTCACATTTCCTTCTTTATTTCCTTACATCTTACATAAACACATACAAATAAAATTAAAATTAAAATAGCAGTGGACTCAAGAATCCTCCTCGTTCAAATGTAAACCTACTAAGCGAAAATAAGGAAAACATACACATACAGGCGTTCAAACATACAAACGTATAAACAAACATACAAACACACATACAGAATTATCGATCTTACATTTGAAACAGTTAAATAAGAGATAAAGAATTGCATTATCATACGTATGAAGACATGTTAGGATGCAGTCAGTGTTTCATCCCTTACCATAAACACAGACTAAACTTTGCATGCAGTGAAGAGCGGGAATCATTAGTACAGCCTCCTACCCACCAAGCACTGAACAGTCATGTAACTAATTTGCAAGACGGGTATAGAAAGGAACGAACAGAGACAGGGAACAGGGGTAGTGAGAGAGAACAGGAAGGGGAGAGGGAGGGAGAAAGAAGAGGAAGTTAACTGTTGATGCGGCAATCATTGTATGCCATACACGACCCAGCACTTTTTTTTGCGAAGAAAATGCCGCCTAGGTTTTTAATTTCCGCGTCATCGAAAAATAAGAATTTGCGCAAAAAGAATAAGAGATTTTTAGGTTATTTTGCTGGAAAAAAAGTCGACAGCGGTGGAAATGTTTTTTCTTTTTCTAAACTTTATTCCCAAGAAAAGTTTAAAACTTACTTTTTTCTTGTCTCGGTGTTTTTTTTCTTTACGCTCTTTCGATTTCGAAAGTTTGTGATTCTTTTCCCCTAAAAAACATCATTGGCTAACATTAAGGCAAATTACGCAGAAAATTTCAATTCAGTAGCGCCTTTCCAGTGCTCGATTAAGACCTGTAGCAGCCGCATGCGATTATCTTTTTTTTTTTAAATAAATTATGATATTCTCACAAATCTGTACCAAAAATACCTTGGCCATCCTGTCGAGTATCCCACTTCACTGATGTTATTAAAATGCTCTCAGATACCAAGCCCAGCTATGCCAGGTCCTTCAATCTTGGGCTGATGTCTTGAGTTAATACTTATCGTCTGTTCCATGTATGTGTGCACTCCTTTCAAACAATTCGGGTCGTCCAAACGACCGTTCATTTTTTTGCGAATATTATTTACTAATACGCTGCGCCTTCCGGTTTCCGAAACAAGAGCAA